TCCTTGCGATCCTTCTCTTCATGGGCTGCCATCAACGATTCAACTGCCTTTTTCATTCTCTGCACTTCCACATCTCTGTCCGAGTGATCAGCACTACTTGAGGCTTTGAAGCCTGTCTCATCTTGTAATCTCCTCATCTCTCCGACTTTACCCTCCAGCTGCCTCCTCAGCATGGCCAGCTCCTCCTTCATTGCCTGGAGTTTGTGCTCCTTCCTCTGTTTCTCATACTGCATCTGGCCAATTTGGATTTTCAGGCTAGAAAGCTTGGCCATTAGCGACTTTGTAGATTTAAGTTTCTTTTCATACTGTAGTTTCTCATTCTCCAGGTCTGTCAGTCGGTACCGCAGTTTGTTAATTTCAAAAATCAAATCCTCACTTTCACTAAATCTGTCATCAAAGTCAAGTCTCTCTTTCTTCATAGTATTTAGCTTCAACTTGAGGTTGGACACTTCAGACATCAGTTCAAGCTTCTGAGTCTCCAGCGCAGCTCTGCACAGCAAATCCTGTTGCAGCATGTCCTCAGTGGCATTGAGTTTCTCCCTGTGCTCGTCCAAACATAAATCCAGGTTCCGTATCTTTTCCCCCTGAGCCTCCACCTGGTCTGTCAGTACACTTACTTGAAGCACCAGAGACTCCTTATCACTTATGTATGTGTAAACACTCTAATTATCTTATCTACATGTGAGACTCTCACCAGGCGACCATGGAGCCACTCAACCAGACTGTCCGCTGTAGAGTCAGGGATCTGGCAGCGTAGACTCTCCCTTTCCTCTGTATCCATCAACTCCAGGACACCCCTCAGGTCTTCCAAACGGTGAAGTGCACGCAGGCTACCCATAAAAGGAGATGTAGGCGACTGGCAGTCAAACAACCCATTGGAATAGTCCAGAGTCTTGGAGCCCGCTATAATGCCATCCATCTGCTCCAGGGCAGCTACCAACATGTCGCTGGCATCAGTCAGCGGCAAGCCCAAATTCTGCTCGAAGAAATTTCAATACTTCCGGTAGTTTGTTTCTTTTATTATTTAAAATAACTCCCGTGTGCCTGGTTTTCGAACTTCTGCATGCCCACCAGTGTTACCCCCTTCCGTCCACATCCCTACGCCATGATGTCGAGCTAGGTGGAATGGTGTTTGTGGCTGTGGCACAAGTGGACGAATAGCATTACACCAGAGTGCAATTAGGACTTAAACCTGGTTCATGAGTCCTGAGGATTCTACACCGTCAATGAGTGGGTGTTTTTGAAAGACAAGAGGGAAGGAGCGGGATGTTGGCAATGTGAGCGAATGAGGGAGTGACTGTGTAAGAGTGTTTGTTATAGAGTAAGTCTTCCACAGTGTAAATCGGCCAATTCCGATCTGCAGCTGATCAATGGGTGCAGCTTTACTGTAAAAGTCGTGCCGTACATGTCTGTTGCTGCACTCTGACATTCACTAACTATCCCCAACCATCATGAGGCTGCCTCACCCTGAGAGATGTAGAAAGGATGCCTGCTGCGTCCTACCCAAACACATTCTACCACTCAGCCTAGAGACGCAGGGCAAGGTCACTGGAGTGTGTGTGTGTGTGTGTGTGTGTGTGTACTGTATTTTCATGCTGTGTCCCAAAGTGTGTCTGCGCGCATACTGTAATAACACGGTGTCCTCTCCTCCCTGTGTGTACAGCAGGTTCTCTTTGTTAATGTTCTCATCTGATAAGGGAAACATCTAACATTTATCAATACCATCAACATGGTGTCAGTGTGATTCTTTCTCTGTGCTTCCTTCAGTTTTGTCACATTTAACAGTGTATTGATAACTCTCTCTGTGGCCCTGATTCACTTCATTAAATCCATTGTGTTCGCAGATTTGTATTTTACACCCAGTCTTTAATGACCTAATTAGAATTAGTCAGCATCTAGTGAAATTAAACCTCAATGGCTTTTTTGTAAATAGCACAGCAAGAGGGTCCATGCTGCTGAGCACTACATTAGTTGGAGTCATGTCTTTTGCAGTGCTGCTGCACATCTCATGTTTTCTTTTTGCTTTCAATTACAGGAAATATATATAAACGACATAGAGAGCTGCTGGAAGAAAAAAAAAAGGTTACTTGCGATTCAGTAGATGTTTAGATGAGGTTGATATTACCCCAGACGCCCCATCTGTCACATCAGGTTTTAGAATTCATGGTAAGACCAGACATCTTGAGACCAGCCGTGATTTGTCAGACCTGAGAGTGTTTTCCTCGACAAAAGAGGAGAGTATTGCTCTTTTTGTCCGGAGACATACCCCATGAGGATGTTTACCCAGACCAATCAGACTTTCATCAAACTCCGTTCTATTCCAGTCTGGAGAGAGGACTGAGGAACCCCACAGAATTCCAGTTGTCTTTCTTACATTAATATGCAGCCACCTCCCTCTCGTTTGGTAAAACAAAATGCAATTAGAGATGATTATCTTTGGACACTTTGTAATAAGTTGGACTCGGTGGAAAACAGGAAGAGGAAGTGTTGGCAACTAGGAGAACCTGTTGGGGTGACCTGAACCATCATGAATCAGAGATCATCACTATGGCTGCAAGTCTGCTCTAGCTTGTTTTCTATACACAGCGGTTTATGTGGGCTGACAGCTAAGTGTACGAAAACAAAGACTTCTTAAAATGAAAATCAATGTTCTTTTATATCTCTGAACACCTTGTTGCATATCTGCATTCCCCCCACTTTTGAACTTTTCAGTATTGAAATGAAAAGTCGGTCCTCAAGGGGTCTAGCAGGCATTCACAAGTTTATTCCTGCTCGCCAATCGATCACTCCAAAGCCAGGTCACTGAGGTCTCGATAAAAGAAGCTCTCACATTTCAGCCAGTGTTTTCTAAAAGCTGCTAGACAACATAAAAGGAGCCTGCAAGGCAAGTCACCATGGTGACCCTTGACCTCTGTGTCAACTATGTTTAGATGATTTATTTACCTTTTAAACACCAGGTGAATAACGTCTGAATGGACAAGGAAATGGACAATATTGTTGACCATACGAACTAATCCAGAGATACTGAAACGTTTGCTATTTGTTCCCTACATTTTTTGTTTTACATTTTTATTGTTTCCTTTTGTATGTGTGTGTGTGTGTGTGTGTGTGTGTGTGTGTGTGTGTATGTGTGTGTGTGTGTGTATACACACATATATCCTCATTCAGGTCAAAACTGCATAAAAATTAGTTGTAGACTAATGTAGACTAGCACTGAGTGAATATTCTTCGGCGTTGCAGAACATTGGTATGACATTAACTTTAAAGTTCTCATGTTTAGGATTGAGAACAAAGGTTAACTGAAAATACAAGCATCATTCACCAATGAGCACTTTGAAATAAAGATGGTATGACTAAAGGACACTGATGTACCAAGGCATGATTTGACAATAGTCATTTCTAAGAAACCAGAATCCTTCATGTATTGTACTTACTCACTCTATATTGAAGTGCTTTTATTTTCACGAACAACTAGGGTAAAAAACTGCACCAAAAAAAGAACAAAGTTTATCAGTACTGGTGCTGCTGGAAAGAAAATGCGCAACTACACTCAGTTGGCATTTTACTAGTTATAAAGCTAAACCTAATGCTGTCTAATCCAGCAGTCCTGCAGTAAATCCTCCTTTCACGAAGCTGATAAAGTTCGGTTTTTGTTCAGAGCACAGTTGTCAACAGGAATGTTGTATTAGTTTTAACCAGGTGTACCTGAACTGCCGACTAAGTGTTTCAGCCTGATATTTGCTCAGTCAGGACCGACTAAGTGTTTCAGCCTGATATTTGCTCAGTCAGGATTACTAGGACCAGGACATTTCACACAGTAACAGGCAGAGCAGGTTCTGACAAAAGATGTTGACTGAAATGTGTTAGCAGAGCAGCAGTGAAACCTTTTTCCTCCGCTGTGTTCACAAATTCTGCTATCACAGGGAAAAACTCGTATTAAGGTAGTGTTTTGAAATCTGTTTAAAATGTTATGTCATGGAAGTGTAAAATTACCTTAGTGAGATTAATCTAGAGTGACACACCAGTACGGGGATGCAGGGTTTGGCACGTCTTTTTTTTTCCTTTTTTTTGTTTTCGCTTAAAGTGAGATTGTGTAATTTTTTTGTAAGAAACTGATTCAGCATTTTTGTTTCCATATTCGTTCTTGTTCTGGTGTGACTGGTACCTGGTGGTTAATGTTGGTTAACAATGTTTATATAGAAAGCCAAAGTCATGTTGTCACATCTGGTTAGCCTCTGTCCTGATATAGCTTCAGTGACTATATGCGGTCTCCCATTTAGCATTTTTATATTCGTCATTATAATAAAGCTGAGAGTGGATTTTTCATATTGTAAGACAAGCCACCAACCACTACAACACTTACTACTGGAAATTAAAATATTTGTGGTTTTAACGGGGTTATTTAACAATTAACTACAGCTCCCATGATGATGATTTGCAGCATGATGTTACACATAGTATATACATCTGTCGTTCCAAGTAGCACAACCTAACTTTGTGCTTCTGACACTAGTCTCATCTCTCTCCACTTTTTAAGTTGTAAAAAGGGTAAGAAGGCATGTAACAGTTATAGCCATCTCTTGACTCGGGAGCTCCGTTAAATTCTTCCTCCAGTTGAACGGCATCAGCTCGTGGCGTTTTAGCCTCGACAGGTTCAGGCTTCTTAGTGTCAATGATAGGTCGTTTTAAAGAAATGTACGATTATATATAGTGTGAACAAATATAGTGAGACTCAGAACAAACAACTGAAAACAATTGTGTTCTAAAGCTGGATTTTTAGTTATTAGCCAGGTTAGAAATATCATTGGGATTTTGAGTGGGGTTTTCTTTCTTCCGCAACACAAACCAGAAGTTCCAGCTTTACTAGAAATTCTTAAATGTAGGCTCTTCTCTGCTCGTGCTGTACTGTGGAATTATATTTTAACATTGAATATTGACTTTTATATTAGTTTGTATAAGATCACTTTGAATTTAAAGAGCTTGTTTGTGGCAGTATTGTTTGCAGTAAATGAGTAAGTGTCTTGGTAAGTAAAGAATTTCCATCCCATTTTTTTGACTTTCAGACTGCCCTCTCTTTCTTTCAGTGGCTTTGTGAATGTGTACCGTTTCTTCTCAGCCTCAGTCTGTGCATGAGCTGTACATTTTGTGGACACTGATGGACACATATGCATAAACACACATACACACACACACACACACACACACTGTCTTCTAACTAGATCTATGCGTTTTATTCGGCCCCTCCTCTCCCTCTCCGCCTCTAATTGAGTTGTGAGTGGAGTCCAGGTGGAACCCATTTGAATTCCCCGTGGTCATGACCACTGTGGTAGCCTGTGACACAGTCAAACCTCTCATTTCCAGACCATTTACAACATATTCTTACCATCAGTAACACTCGTGCTACAATCATTATGGCATCTAGACACACCATAGCAATTTGTGGTCAAAAACGCCAGACTAACACAGACATGCAGGACCAGATATGAGGCAGAATTAACTTTGTAATCAGATCTGTATTGAGTGCACGCAGCATGATACATAATGCACTTGTTGAAAATATGCATCACATTTGCCTGGCCAGGGATGCTATGCAATTCATGTTTTAAGATTTCATTATATTCCGTGCACTTGGCTCAGGATCAGATAATGATATTGAAAAGCATGCGCCATAGAGATCAGTGTTATTGACATTAGAATTTGCTGTACTCCTGAGTCAGAAGCTGAGCTGAGATTGCTGCTGCTGTTGTTTGAGTGTATCTATCAGTGTGTGCTTTCTTTTTCCCCCCCTCCCGTCTCACATCTGGAAGGGAATTGTCTGTTTGAGAATTATGCAAATGCAGTTGGTACAGAACTCTGGGAAACTGAGGCCTGAAAAAATTTAATATAAATTAAACAGAAAATAAATGGAGGTGTTTTCTGAGCAAATGCCCTTCAAACATGGCTCACCAACTCCTGGCCTACTGAAAAATGATAGTAGTAATTAGCAAAATGGCTTTGTTCTGCTTTGTTTCACATGTGTAAGAGTGTATTGTGTTTCTTTGTAAGCTCATAGTCCCAGTGCTCTCTGTGGTTTACAAGTGTCCTCTGACCATATGT